CTGAGACACCAGCAGATAGTTTTCGTCATTTTTTGGGCGGAGATTTTAGCTTCAAATCAGTCTCAAAGCTTTGGAAAAAAAAAGCGACGAGAATCGTAGCAACGGATAAATCTAAAACCTCTCAACGCAAAGTGTTAATAGCACACTCTTAGTGATAGTCCTCGTAATTTGCGCATTTTTTCAGGTCCTGAATCAAAGGATTAAATAGCCACGATAAAATCGCGTTCCTTAGATAAGAAGTTATCAGTTTTAAGTGGCCTCGTATTTGCTCGAAGATATTTGTCAATTTCATTCATCGGCGGAAGGACTGAATACTTCTGAATACTTTTACAGAGGAATGAAAAGAGCTCAGACATGTTGAAATCGCTCGCATTTTTTGAAGGAGTGCAATTTTTTACTTTTTTTTTTCGAAAACGTATTTTTTTCGTGAGGAGCGCTTTTTTTACTTTTTTTTATTTCGTTAGTCTCTACATTGGAAAGGAAGTGATGGGTGACTGAAAGAAACAGCATTATAACGAAGGGATAAAATGCGACCTTAGCATTCATATATCTTAGAAGAGGCAATCTCAATACCTATTCTCAGCAGACATGAACATTCATCAGACAAAGATATTCTGTTTCATAGAGCACTCAGATTCGGTCAAACGTCCACAATCAACATATTTAATGGACATGAAAACTGTGTTTAAGTTTTAGGCTAATGCGCCGTTAAATGTGGGGTCCAACCTCGGCTAGCCGCAATTAAAAAATTTAACCGAATAGATGGGAATCTCAGACAAATATTTGCCCTCCCGTATGTTCGCCGGATCAGTTTTCGCGGATTTCTGCGTGTAAAAATAAATACCTAACACGAAGTGGACAAATGTATTATTCTTTGTGATCTGAAAAATATCAGTTTATTATTTTGCGTTTTGCATTTGATAAATAAGCAGGTGAGAAGGGATTTTAACTCCACAGTAGCAGTTTTCCGGCGTCAATTGATAAGTCAGCTTGGATACCTACTTCAAATATTTAGCAAGGGGATTATTGGACAGAATGTTGCGCTTTTAGGCTAATTTTCTGAATCTGACGGGTTGAAAATAAATTTAACCGTAAACCTGCGGATTGGACCGACAAGACCGCACATAGCGTGAGTTGGCGAAACCACAGTTTCATCATATCAATTTCTCCGCAAGCCAAGTTCTTTTATGAATCTCTTATGAGTTATTCCACTTCCCCATATCTTGCATGAGAGTTTACTTTAGCAGGAGCTTGTTATCTGACTTCTCACTTCGTTCTAATCCCATGACTTAGCTGAATGGTGGGAGAAGTTTCTTTACATTACGCTATACGTATACCAAGCGGCTCATTATTTAAACTGAATTCCTCAGACTCGTGTAAGCTTGTCCAATCCGTTACCTATTGTTTATTTTGTAATCTAGTAATCAGTTACATTTCTAAGTGTAATTGTTGATGACTTAATCTTACAGCATTTAAACACTGGAAGTTGGACAAACAAGCTATTTATGACTCGCTGGGAGCCCTGTCGCTGCGGGCATTATACACGGAGAAAGTGCTCGTTCATTTGAACCCCTTACTATAACTAACAGTTCCTTTAAACATATTTATTTTTCTGAGAGACAAGATAAGTTTTATTTTAGGAAAACTGCAAGTTCCCTGGCGGTGTGGGAGCCATGAGATCAAACGCACAGTCATGAATTTCCCATTACAGACTGTCAAAGAAAATGTTTCCGGGCACCACAATGATTTCTGCTTTTCCGTTTTCTGCAAACCTCCAAAATGAGTTACCGTGATTTATACAAACCCAGGGGCGGCAACAGCATAGATCAGTTTATAAATAGTACTGTTAGCGTTAGCTGAAGTGAAAGGCCGAAATATTTTCCGAGAGAATATGGAATAAATTTGGGTGGAGCAGCCTCGGTGTCTGCTATGAGGGAGTAATGTTCTATCATTTTTTACTATTGCAGACCAGGAACCTTGATGTCTGCTCCGACGAAAAAACAAGTATCTGAGAAATTACGCAGTATTGCATTTGCACGTAGATACGTCGACACAGTTTCAAGGTTTTTTTTTACTTCATTAATTTTTTTTCGGTTAATAGGGCAACAAAACTGTCTCTCACCCGTTTAGTTCACGCGCTCATCATTTCCCGCCGACAACTGACAACTTATTCTTGACTGACGATAGATTGAAAATGAACTGTAGTTTTTCCAAGAACTGTCAAAATAGAAATCGTAGTGAAAATGTTTATAGAGCAACAATAATTTTAAGAAAAAAAATGTCACTAGTAAATCACGAGAAAAAGTCGGCCTTTAGCCTCTAACCGTCAAACATGCTCAAAGCGTGTAAAAATGATTCTGTATGAGGCTTATGATGTCACTTTTGTACCGAAAGAAATGTTGCAGCGGGAGAAAAAAAACGACGATTTTCCGTGCCTCATCCCTACTGCACGCGCTTTCCTCGCTGTCACTTTTTAAGTATTGTAGATTGTTGGAAATTAAAACCAAATTATGCCTCGTCCATGAAGCACCTAAGTTTTAAAAAGAAAGCAGACGATCTACATCAAATAAGACAGACCTCCCTGAAGCGCCATTAGCAATCATATATTAGTAATCATATTTTCACACTCTGCTAGAGTTAATGCTATTTTGGCCAAGCGATCTGGTAATTTTCCTGGTGTGATAAAGATGCGAACCGCGTATCTTAGATGCCCCATCTTTCTCAGATTTCCCAATGTATATGTATGCTTGGAATTATGAAATAATTTGTGGGAGGAATGCTCTGATATCTGCTCGCAAACAAACACAGCGCATTAGGCAAACGATTCCTGTTTGAACTAACTTTTTAAAACTAAATTTTTAATTAAAAAAAATCCCCACATAATTTTATTTAAAATCTTATCTAATAATGATACTCTCCCCCTTTGCATAACAGCGTTTCAAACAAAGAAGACAATATCAGACCCCCCCCCCCTTTCCCCCCATCCTAATTCCCGGACAATTTTCTAATCTATCACCGGCTCTTTACTTGGGCGGCAGGGGTGTCTGCAGAACGCAAGGAGCAGATATATTCTGTAAAAACCTTAATTGCATATTTCGAATGCTGGGGTCAGGCTCTATCAACATACGCCAGGTGCGTACAAGAACGGGTCCCGATAGCGCCGTGTGTTGATTTTGTTGATCATGTGCTCCCGTAAAGGAAGTGACATTGGTAGCTCTGGCACGCGACGAGATTCGGTGGCAGGGCAAGTCTGGGCACAGTCTCTGCTGTTTCTTTGAAGTTGGTTATCAGTTCTCTTGGACTTAAGCCGCCCTACCCTACGGAGATGGCCAAGCCTTGGTGACACTCACAACGCCGACGAGACAACCGGTGTCACGAGATCGACCGAGAAATCCTCAAGGGTTAGGCCCTTTAACGCGATATGAAAGTTTTGAGGAAGTAGTTTACTCCGGTGATTGTGTTATTATTATTGTGCGCGATTCGTCTGTGAGATAGGGCCACACATTAGACATAATCCAGATGTGACTTAGCTTACCTTGGCGGTACTGATAACGCGGTAAAGAGCGACCGCAGTGTGCGTGTACCAGAGAGAGAGAGGGATTAAGCCGTGAGAGCGGTTGTGGAATGCGCAGTCTTTACCTGAATTATAAATGTTTTGGGCTTTTGTTTTTCGCCTTCCGCGAATAGTAGCTTGATATATAGAGGCGGCGGAATGAAGGAAGTAAGGTGGTAGAGTAATTTATCAGGTTTGCGGTGTGTACTCATGTTAACGTTTTGGACCCCCCCCCCCCCTCTTCGGCTGACCGCCCTGCCCACGTACACAGGTGTTCGATAGAGGTGGACACACGCCGGTGTTAAATACGAGAGGTGTTGGAACTTTGAACCCAACGTCACCAGAAACGGTGAAGTTTTGATTAGACATCGAATTCCACAGTAAGCTGCCATAAATAGATTCGTCTGGCGGTGTTTTCTTGGAGGGGAAAAGGGGGATTTCTTCGATACGTGCAATAGCTTTGGTATACGTGTCAACTGTTTCGTTTAAGTGTGTTTGGTGCCGGTCAGGGCTTAACACGAAATATCTTCAACATTTACAATGAAGCGGTTATTTGTGTCACATGCTTGAGAACTCCCTACACATTGCTTTTATCTTTTTGGGCCAATAAAATGATTTAAAACGTTTGACCAGTGGGGGTCAAATTATTAACTGTTTCCTGTGAGGCTTGCGGTTTGGCATTTGAACCCCCTCTGTCTCTCTCCCTTTCTCTCTCTCTCTCACACACACACACACCTCTCTCTCTCTCTCTCTCTCTCTCTCTCTCTCTCTCTCTCTCACACACACACACACACACACACACACCTTTCTCTCTCTCTCTCCCTCTCTTTCTCACTCACACACACACACACACACACACACACACGTTCTTCAACAAAATGGTGTCAGCAACTAATCCACGTGTTAGTGTGTCTCGTGTGTGTGTGCCGAGAGTCTGAGGTCTGGAGACTCGATTTGAACCAGAACTTGTCAGGTCCCGGCCAGTAATTTAATTGGCAATCCGAATACAATAATAGCTCCGAATAAAAACAAATCTGTCGGTATTTATAAAATAAAAAAAACTCAGACTGTCTGGGAATTACAGCCACCTTATGCGGCGTATACGCGCGATGATATTTGTTAATTGGGTAGGTCGCGGGTGAGCATAGGTTTACGAAAAATCTTAAAAGTTCCATGTGTAAACTTTTAGTCGTGTTTTAAGATCCAATGGCATGTTAATCCACATTCGATTGTCCTGTGTGTATTGTTTGCTGTATACGAAGTCCTAACGCTTGTTTGATTTATAAAATTACCCAACGTGTAATAAATAGAACGAGAACCGGTGTACTATCAAACACATCCACAGCCGGCGAAAGTTTGTGTTGTAAATCTTAGTTTAAATACCACTGACAGTTCCTTGTCATAACACGGACTCCGGTATTTATGAAGTAACATAAACATCACTCACCTGTCTTGTATATAGTAGTAATGTGATACCAGGACTTTCTCCGCTCTCTGTTCGTTTCTTACTTCGTCAAATAACACTTCCTTAGTTCGACCATGTGATAACAGTGCTTGGCTGTGTTTAAGCACGAATACCGTTCCTCGAGCACACCAGGTTTATTTATATCACGGGAATCACCTTGGCTATCTAGAATAGCTTAAACAGGTAAAACAAAGGGGGCGGAGCCAGAGAGGGCCACCTTAGCCAATCAGAGGTAGCGGTTATCGCCCAACCATCTCATTCATACCCTCTGGTTGGCAAGCGAGTTTCGAAACAACTAGACTTAGCAGTAAACATTTGGTCTCGCCCAATTCATTTTGACACAGTTGCAAGCTGATTGTAAACTTTAAACAATGCTAATTCCGTCGTTAAGTGTCAAAGCAAATCCAGCCCTGGTGACGTCAGCTTCCATTCATAAAATTTCGCAGCTCATTGAGCGGTGGCTTGCATCAGACTTCAATTTTGCATGTAATTCTGATAATCTTTCTCAATGAAAATTTGACATTTGATTAGATTATCAGTGAAGATGATATTAACATGCTTAGACCCATTTAGTAATCGACGTATAGTAAAAGTAGACCACACTAATTTTCAAAACCCCTCGGCTAATTTGTGCACTATTAAATGTGAATTACTGTTTCAAGGTTTCGCGAAATTACAAAGCGGTTTCGCAAAGAAAACATGCCATCTGTTTGAATAATGTTTTTCAAAAGCTACTTATGCTAATCCGTTTGGACATTCATCAGGCTGTGGTGAAATAAATAGAAATACCTGATCTTGAAAGAAAAAAAAAGACCAATTTGGAGTCGGGACTAGAGTCCGCGGGGACGAAATTCCTTCTCGCAAATTCCAGCTCCACGGCATAAATTCTAAGCCACATATTATTAGAGTGATTCTTTGAAATTCAAATGAAATTACTCGCAAATTAAATGAATACAATTTGAATCAATTCAACCGGTCAGATTGCTGAATGAAGACGTTTTTTAAAAGCTTTGGGACATTGTATTTCACCTTACGATATCAGAGTCATTATTTGGCTTTAATGACTCAATTGTGAATCTTCTTAGGGTTTAACACCTCTAAAGTGAGTTGTTGACAGAACCGGTATATGTTGCTGAATGGGCGAAGGGTGTGTGGGGGAGGAAGGGACTGAAAGGGGGTTCGTGCTAGCAGGGAGGGCGTAATGATCGAGGAACAAACCCTCTATGCCAACTGACAAGACGGTTACCAGAGCGGATATCTAACGTGACAGAGAAAGAGTTTTCAGAAAATTTGCGCCAACGTGTGTTCTACTGTCTACGTATTCTCAAGTGTGCCACAATCCCTATCTTCTTGCAACGTTCAATTCCTCTTCATTACACGTTATTAAAAAATCATAAAAACTGACGTAGTTTACTCCTACAACAGACTCGATTTCCACTCCACGGTTAATCATTATAACGAATGATTTAACTCAAAGAGCAGATTAAACAATCTGAAGGAGCCGATAACGTTGATTTCACTTTAAATACGGCTGTCTTTGTTCTGTTCAAGTATGTTAGTATTTATAACGATGGTTTAGGGATAGGCTTCACTACAGTGTTGGAATGATATTAGATAAAGAAAACTGATTTGAAAAAACCCTGCTTAAAATAAATGCCGTTGTTTTGTCACCACCCATTCGGTTGGTTGGTCATACTCTCTCTCTCTCTCTCCCTCTCTCTCTCCCTCTCTCTCTCTTAGCCGTTACTTTCTGTCTGAACGTCATTGCTAATGATGAAGAGGGATGAAGATTTATTTATCAACCGGTTAGTTGTTCTGAATTGTTCACTGGAGATCTCTGTCCAGGTATTCAATTCAAGGATTAGCGTCTTACAACTTTCTCTGTTGGGGACGTCTTAAAAGTTAATCCCGCCCGAGTCTTAACTTTATTTCATTTGCTGGATTATCGGGTCTGAAGAAGTCGCTACAGACTCAATGACAAAGGTTAACTTTAACATGTTGCTTGTTCGGATTTAGGCAATAATACCTCCCATCAAAAAGCTCTCATGAATGTGTGAGGTTTCCCGTCAATGTGACGAATTCTTTGCCTGAAAATGCTTGTCATATTTCTCGTAGCTCTCTTGTGAAGATCGCAAGCCACCCTCGGTGGTTTATTAAAGTTTTACCTTCACCTGTGGGACTCACAAGCACTTCTGTCAACAAACGGTTGACCTCAGTTTAGATGATCTTTATTTGAGCTGGAAGAAAAAAATCAAATAGTAATAAGAAAAAAACCGAGAGAAAGAATGGTCTCCCCCACGAAATCAATCGTCAAAAAGCCAATAAACAGCGAAAAGAGTCATAAAAAAGTCTTTAATTCCACGTGTTGTTAACTTGACTTTGACGAGAAGAAAAGATCTTCTTCAAAGAATCCCGCTTTGTAGCGTCTGCTTCTATTGGAACGCGCTGGCGGGGAAAGAGGGGCGGAGGTCTCGTTTGGAGATCATTAGTCCGCAGACGTTACTCTCAGCCTTGAAATTTTGACGGTGTACAATATTTGGCTGCTCGCAGCGGTGACGCTCTGAGAAAAGCCAATGGTGTCTGAAGAAACGTTTCTCACACATCTTCTCATGATCACTTTTTCAATGAAGACATTTCAACAAAGCGGTCCCGCTGTTCCATCCTATACTGCCGCCTGACTGGTAACAATGGCGTACCCCGGTATCGTCTGCCCGTTCATTACTGATACCCCCTATATATGACTTGTTGGGTGGCATTCCCAACTCGTTCAAATATCACTCAATTAACCTCCAATCAAGTTGTCAAAAATCCTTATCGTTAACGAGTGAATAAGTATAGATTGTTTTTATTATCGTTTTGATTGTATATTTTATCTTTTTTTGTATTTTTGATAAGATGTTTTAGGTAAAGTATGGTTTCTTCAAAACCTAGGTTTACGTCTGTTGATACAAATTAGGTTTACACTGTTCTTTATCAAAACTATTTTAAGTTGCTTTTTAAACCACAATTCCTTATTTTTGTCGCAGCGATAGATAAGGAATTAAAATCGTTTGAATACTATTTCTGTGACCGTTTTACCGCAGACCATACAAACATCCTGCAAAACAAAGGTTTTATCATTTTTTTTTACGATTAAAACGCAATGCAAACATGAAAAATAAAGGTTTAAAAAAGTACGGAAAAATTAGATAATCCGGATGAAGGAACTGACGTGTGAGCATTTAAAGAATGCTGCCGCACCGATTTTAAAGGATGCTTAATCAGAATGATAACAAAAGAAAAAAGGTTCGGTTAAACGCCATTAACAAGAAAAACGTTTTACGAAACGAGCTCTGTAGACTGCGACATTTCTCGTGAGGCGATGTTTTTAAAAAGAACTACTCACATTTTAAAATCTCAGTTTTGCACCAATGTCATTGTCATAAAACGTATCAGTAATTTGATTATTCAAATATACTTTCTCTACAAACGAAAATTCATTAGCTACTTTTTAAAATAAATGTTTGTTCTTTAAAACTTTTGCAATATTCATTTTATTCTTTCTTGGCAAGACCTGTTTCACCTTTCCGATTGAACTTGAACCCATCAAGAAAACCGTTGTTAGATTTTTTTCCGGAACATACCTCTCTCCCGAAAATAACCTAAAGGATATGATTGAGGGGGACTGATGCAATCAATTTACATCTTGCACATCTTGTCCCGAAAATATCATTTTGAATAAAATGACGACCCGTTACAGCTCTTGAACTGTTAAAGACACAAATATATTTGTTTGGGCATTAGGTTATTACAAAACAGCTTTTGGGCATGTTATTAATGTCTTCTTCTTGACCACAAGTGACCGGCGCCCACCCCCAGGCTCTGGACACATGGTCCTCACTTGGCCACAAGTATCTTTGAATTCTTAATGTGGAAAGGGATTAACTATTTTTGTACATACGCCTTTATAAATATCTTCAAGTTCTAGTAACCTTAATAATAAGCCCAAATGAAATTAGACTTGGGGTTTCTCTTCGGAGAGAGGTGATTCCTTGGGATTTAAGGGATCCAAGTATTTTAATAAAACTTTAAAAAGTTTTTAAAAATGTGCAAAAAATCATCAATTTGACATTTTACTTCTCATGTTCACAGATATGTACTAATTTTGATTTCAAAGGAATGCACTTGAGAAAGGATGATAACCTAACACGCTCACCATGAAGGGGATGGGTAGCAAAAATTAGCGGAGTCAGGCAAAACGGAGATTTCCTGTCCATTTACACGCTGTGCATACTTTCCTTAATTTCATTGAATCGTTTGGAGGGAACCTACCCTAAATTCATCCCAAAAATATAGTGGTCATTTTACAAGTGACCCCTGCTAAAAACACGTGGACTGGCCATACTTGAACATTTAACCGTACCAGTCGGGCTGTTGGAGGTTCAAGGGGTCAGTTTCACGAGACCTTCTTTAGCTTATGTTTTCTGGTCACAAATTTACTTAACTTCAGCTATACAGTCAATGTTTTGACGATCGACTCTCTACAGCCAACGAACAATCGCTACGTGAAACCGGAATTTTCAATATTTAAATTATGTTCATTTTGAGAGTATATTATAATTATTTATTGTTTTACCAGTTATCGTTTCAACATTATCGTTTTATTTCCCGCAGCAATTGCATCGATCATTCTGCTTATACACAGCCATATCATTGCACTGTTGCAACATATAACATCTTTTAAACGAAACGTTGTATGTTTTACTTATTGCAATGATTATACCAATAGTTAACCCATAGGTAAACGTATTCATTTCAGTGGCGATGTTCACTTATGCAGTAGACATAGTAAGGATTTTATAATAATAATAATAATAATAATAATAATAATAATAATAATAATAATTTATTCGAGCATTAAATGTGGCAGTTACATTTTTTTTGAAGTTACATTTTTGAATTTGTCATTCATTCCTTTTTCTTTTTTTTGTTAAAACAATAACGAGTATCCACTGGTCAATTTTTTTCTGACCATGGGACACGCCCCAATCTTAACGAATGTCGTGACCATTTAGACTGTGAACGAGGAGGACGACCATGAGTACAGACAGCGATGGCGAGAGCGTCTCTGAGAACGAAACTCTATCGCCC